CTCTTCTAGAAATTACTGAGCCTGAGGAAGGGGCCACTGAAATCCCCAATTTAGAGCCAACTGTTCAGGGACTGCCATCTGACACAAGCAGTCCTGAGCACCTGAAGCCATTCAGGGATCTGACACAGGGTCAGAATTTAACTGCACATCGGACACAATTGTTGCAGTTCGGAGAACTGAAAAAGTGGTTGTGGGTGTTGGAAAACACTTCAGGGTGAGCCTATTTTGAAACTGAGTTGGTGTAGATCTAATCAAGTTAAGATGAGTTTGTGGTAGTCTCTACGCTTTATGTCTTTATAGAGCGAGATTTGGATACAACATCCAGGGAGAATACCCTGTGATGATAGAGGTAGAAAAATTAAGGTATGTGACTATAAATTAAGAGCACCAGAAAGGCTAGAGCAGCAAAGAGGAAGAACAAATGTTCCCCCAAAGCAAACTTTTGGCACTTGATTTTCTAACCTCCAGAACTAGAAGAGAATGCATTTATCTTACACAGTTTGCAGTAAACTGACTCTAAGTCTAGAAAACAAATACAATTATTGACCAAACTTGGGGAAAGGGAATTCTTAAGATGACCTGAACCTAAGATCTGAACCTAAGTGACTGGAACATCAGAGAAGAAACTGGCTATCAGGAGTTTCTGATAGCCAGTGTTTAATGGTATTCTGTTTTTGCTTCTTGGACCAAATCCAGCAGGTTCTGGGAGGATATCCTCATTTTAGTGCTAGGGAGACCACGTGGTGCTGGAAATCAAACCCAGCCTCATACGTACAAGGAAATAAATCTACCACTCAGCCACCTCCTGGCTTAAGAAATCATTTTAAATTTGATTGAGTAGTCTAATACAATCAGACGATGTTCACATGGATGCCTTGAAGGAGTAACGGAAAAAATCAAAAGAATACTGATGAGAGAGCCAAAATCCCCCATTTATTACCATCTACCTAAATTAAAAAAAAATTCTTTTCAATTTCTGAGGTACTTCTTATCCTGTCATCTAAAACCCCACCCTAGAGCTTCCACACCTATGACCAAGCCCCCCTTTCCTAATTTTAGTTCTAAGTCTTTTTTATTCTTTAGTTGAAATTACTCTGTGTCTAATTACGTACCTCATATCTCAATTACTCATCTCTCTGTACATTCTAATATTTTTAGGTATCTACACAGTGTCCTGATTCAGACAGATGTCTAGGATGTGTCTATATGGATACGCTGACATAACTTCATCTCCAGCATGCGTTTATCGAATATATCTTCTCTTCCAGCTGAAACATATTCCTCATCCTATCCTAACAATTCTACTAATATTTGATCCTAATAGAAAATATATCATTTTTTTTATTTGCCACCATATGCTATAAAAATTTTTCCTTCTGCACTTAATGGGAATCATCTCATTTTTATACCTCCAGCTCAAGTTCCGGACTTCTTAACTCATTTTAAACACTTCCAGGAGTGACTTCTTACCTCCTGTCACCTGGGAGTGACTGATACTATTTTCTGTTTGGAATTTTAGGGGTCCCTATCTAGGGCTACCCCAGGTACTTAAGTATTGTGTTCTGGGTTCACTTCTGGCATTGCTCAGGGGACCATGCAGTGCCCATGTTCCCTACATGCAAAGCATGTGCTCAGCCCAGTGAGCATCTCTGCAGTCCTGACAGCCTTTGCATGTTCGCCTCTTCAGTGAAGTGGCATGGCCATCAGCCATTAGTCATGGCCTCTACTTTTCCCTCAGTATATAAGAGACTGCTGGGTCACCCAGCACATTCTATACATTTTAAAAACTTTAAGACTACGGTTCATTTCTTTTTCAAAAACCATTCATAATAGTATTGAGGACAGTTACTCGATATAATATTTATATAGATACTGATATCTAGCATATAGACATATCTAGCATATAGATACAGTATCTATACTTTAGGGGTACATACTTAGAATAAAAATAACAAGTTTTCATTTCAAGTGCCTCAAAAAAGCAAAGCACAACTCACTCTGTTATAACAAGAGATCTCTCTTCTTACATCTACTTCAATAGCGTGTGAGGAAAGATATACAGAGAAGTCATCAATCAATCACAGAGTGTACCCCAACTCAAGATACCTAGTTAAGCCCTTTCTACAGACCAACAGAGCAAAACAACACGACAAAGACTCTACCTAAAAACATTCACTTAAAAATGACAGAAGATTCATGATCAGGATCTTGCAGCTGTAAATAAACGTATTCAGATGGCAGTCAGCCATTTTATCTAGTCTGGAGTGAGGAGTGAATAAAGCTGCTACACCCCTAGTTATGAGAATCTCTCACAGGAAGTAAATCTAAACAATTGTGATTTCTGCCCACATATCTTGAAACTAAGTTGTAACTTCATTAAAAAGTTATTTTTATCATATAATGAATATAAAAATCTGGCATATTCTGCCATTATAAATTATGCCATAAAATACTATAACCAAAATTTTCTTTCCTTTTCATTTTGTTTGTGGGAGAAAACATTCCAGACAATTATCAGCACCCCTAGATGGCAATGCTACTTCGACTCAGTGGTGCAATGATGGGGGCCATTAGGACCACACCTGGCAATGTTCAAGAGCCACAGCAAAGCAGTGCTGAGGGTGGGGAGTGAGAGGGACAGGGACCAAATCTGGAGACTTGTGCATATACAGCATACAACTAGCTTTCTCTGAGTTTCCATAACAAAAATTCTTATGCAGAAGTGTTATCTTTAACTAGAATGGAAAAGGGTTCAAGTTAAAACTGATTTTTATAATGACTGTATTGCCAAAGGAGATAAAACTTGTAGATCACGGCTACAATGAAACGAAAAACAATGAAAGATTTGGAATTAAAGAAAGCAGCAACTAGAGTTCTTGTACAGAAAGAATACATTATTGAAAATAGAAAAATATTGGTTTTATGTTGTAGTATAAGGTCCTACTAGTCAAGTGATCTAGCTACCTACCATTTATTTCAGTTTCCTAAACTTTTAAGTTTCTGTAGAAAGCTATCTGTATGCTAAAAATCAATCCTGGCCCTAAAACGATACACACTTACAGGTCTTCTATAGTATTCCTATATCACACATCCTATATCACATGCTTATCTAGTTTGAATAAAATTATAAAGCTTCTTAAACAGTGTTCTACATGATAGAACAGCTCTGGGTCAAAATTTTTCACTAAATTAACATTTTCCTGGGGCAGCGGAGATAGCTCAAGCAGGACTGCCCACCATGTACAAGGACCCAAGTTTGGTCCCCAGCACTGCAAGGTTCCCCAACCACCACACCAATGGGTGTAAATACTGACCCATTAGACCCACAACCATAAGTCCAAGCATTACAAGGAGTGGCCAAGCCCTAGGACTCCAGAGCACCACTAGGTATGATCCCTAGAGAAAAAAATGTTCACCTAGGGTCCCAGTAGTAATAGAAGGTGCTTCACAAGGCTCTTAAAACATCACTTCATCCCTTCTTTCTGGTCTACCTATGATTAGTTAGTTGATAATCTCTCTCACCACTGGATGTCACTTTTGCTCCAAAAGAGTCAACCCAAAGTAACCTTAGTAATTAGTAACTGATTTCAAAGACATTTTAAAAAGCCTCAATACAAACATTTCTCTGTGAAAATTAGAATCAATTCTTACAATGTCCAGTAATCTTCAGTCAAAATCTGGATTCATTTGTTTCGTATAAGTAGGATTTCTGAATCATTTTATGTCAGGATTATCCCAAGACATAACCTTTTTTTTTTTGCTAAAATCCCAATAATATTCATACACTGCTCAGTAGTTCATGGACAGAAAGAGAAGTAATGTTTACCAGAAAATCAGCAAAACACAAGTGTTCTCATTTGAGTACAAAATACTGGAATTCTCATATAGTATAACCATTTTTTAAAATCTCAATGTCATACTATTTTTAGCACTATGACAAGTGAAAAGCAACAGGCAGAAACAAAAGAAGTAGATAAGTGATAACTTTCAAACAACTCAGTTTGTGACTTGCAACTATAAGGACACTTTTGATAACTAAGCTTAATTCTAATTAGGATATATGACAAATTGTATCCTTGGGTTTCCAAATTCAGACTATATGAATGAAACGGTTCTCTCAGGCCCACATAAACAGGTACCTTTTCCACTAAACAAAACAGATATGAAGAAATTGGTATGTCTATGCACAGAAACACTTTCCTCTCATAATATGTTATCACCTCTCCATGACAATGCCATTACTAAGGGCATTTATCAAATGCAGATATGTGAGATCATTTGTGGAATTTAAAAAATACCACCCCTGTCACACTCCCCCCAGCCCCCATACCCTCAGCCATAATCTGGGTGAAAATAACTGCTGACTCACTAACACATGAGTCAAGGCTACTGATGAAGCCATGCTACAGTCCTTGGGTCTGAAGAAGTAGAAAAGTGTCTTAAACCTCTGACTTAGGTGATTCATCTAATTGCATCATTTCCATAATGCTCTGGACTATTTCCAGGAAAGAAGAGTTTTAGGTTCTGGAGAAAACAGGCCAACAAAGGTGAAGCTTAGAAAGAATCAAGGTTATGGTAAGGTCGGGGCATTTTTAGATTCCAGCTCCTTCTGGAACAAAAAGAAGCTTGCTCCTATGTTCCTGAATAGAAAACAAGATATTTAAAAGACAAAAACAATGATGTGTCAGTTGAATCCGGGTGATCACCGATTAAGTATAAAAGGTATTAAATGATCTGGATGGGCAGGCCTGAAAATTTTATCACCAAAATACGTTCAATGTGGAAAAAAAATGTACATTGGCTTTCGAACAACTGACTTGCAGACCAAATTCAAAAATAAACCTGTTGAGCAGTCTGAATTTGCCAATTTATATCTGCAAGGTTAACAGCAAAATAAGTTTAAATATCAAATAAAACATACCATTGAAATCTGTTGTACATTTTATTATCTGAAAATAGTTAAATCTTATAAAGAAATCACTGTAGTAAGAAGCACTTGCCTTTTTCTGGGCAATGGCAGCTCGCTGCAGTTTCTCTTTAGCTTGATTATACTTTTCTTCTCTGTCTGTAATGCGCTCATGAAGTTTGTGCTTTTCTTCCAACCACTGTATCTGTTTCTCTTCCACTGTCCTACCAGGAAAAGACACATGAAAAACATGCACGTTAATTCTAAGTATTAAACAGATGCCACCACTAGTATAAACAAACTCACCACCTGCTTCACCACATCCTTAATTATCCAACCGCAGGCATGCTAGCCTGGCTCCACATTTGCTAATACTTCTACTCCTGCATGCTTCTTACAAGCCCAAGAGTTTACTTAGCAGTATAGATGTCAGTAATTTTGCACACTGACCCTGTAAGTGAAGCATGACCATCATCTCCATTTTATAGATGAGGAAACTGAGGATTCGAATAGTTAAATAATTTATTTAAAAACTTACACTCAATTAATGACGGGACAAAGACTTTATAACCCACTCTGAAACATGATATCCAACAAGCTACAAACATTTTGACCAATAAAATTAGTTAAAAATCAACCAGGGGTGCCAGAGATGTAGCTTAGTGGTAGATGCTAAAACAAACAAATCCAGGTATGTAAGTCTTTACAAAGTATGTTTTCTAGCTAGAATAAAACTCATATTTTGTTATTGTTTGCTTTGGGGCCACACCCCATTGTGCTCAGGGCTTACACCTGGCTCAGTACTCAGGGATCACACTCCTGGTGCTGTTTGGGAACCATATGGGATCAAATCCAGGCAGGCCTTACACTAGCTTCTGGTCCCCATACAATTCTATTTTAAAGTAACATCATACCTGGTATCTTTAAAGTTCTCCTATATACGTTAAATGACTTTCAGAATTTTTACGAGAGGCACTACAAGTGAGCAGAAAAATACTCAAAAAAGTTAGATTTTCAATTCTTTACCTGGTATCAAACTCACTTTCTATTGACCTATAATACAGTCATTTCCTGCTATATAAAATGTTATTAATAACATCAGAAAGAAATGATAAATTACTTAATTTTAATAGCTATACTATAAGTAAATGTTGTTTTTTTTCCCTTGGCGGTGTTGGAAATCAAACCCAGGGCCTCACAGAGGCAAAGCAAATGCTTTATCACTGAGCTACATCTTCGACCCTGTCACTGAAATTCTTAAATACATTTCAATCAAGCCCTTGAAGATTCCAAGATATAAATTTCTATACTTTGCAAAACACAAATAATTTCAACTCATGGAATGTCACAACACATTTTGAATACATCTTGCTAACTTCCTTTTATTGAAATTCAACCACATACATAAAACTATGGACATGCCCTAAAAATATGAATTAACAGGGGCCAGGGATGGTGTTGGAACACTAAAAGCTTGAAACAACTGTATAATGAACAACTTTGTAAATGTATGTTTTTAATATAAAAAACACAAAAAAGTAGAGGTTAGGGGGTTAGCACAAAGGATCGGAGCACATGCTGTGTGCTCTGTGTACAAGGCTCCAAGTTTCATCTTCAGCACCACTGACTCCTAAGCACAACTGGACCCAAGCGTTCAACCATCTCATCCTCAATTACCAAGAACCCTTGGGAGTGCACCAGCATCCCCTGAGCATTGCTTTGGAGCCCCCCCCAGACACACACACACACACACACACACACACACACACACACACACACACGCGCGCGCGCACACATACACACAAATTAACAGAAAAACTGAAGGAAAAAAAGTTTGATGTGTGTGTGTGTCAATTCAGCCTTCAGGAGAACAAATTAGAAAAAATAAGTTTTATGGATTCAAATAAAAACATACTAAGATGCTAAAAACTAGAAAACAATAAAACTGCAATTTTCCATGCTGTCTAAACAAATTCTCCACAAAGGGTCTTCTTTATAGGCCAGGGAGCTGGCTCAAAGGGCTTAAGCACAAGCTTTGCATGCAGGAGCCCTGGGGGCAATCTTCAGCTTGAGTTAGTGCCCTGGGGACCATGGAAGTGGGGAACCACTGGGAGCAGCCTCCCGGGGCTGTGGGGTGCATCTTCTCTTAAAAGGACCTGTTTTTTTTTTCCGCTAAAAGTTTTCCTGCCAGCCCCGCCCCTGGCAACAATTTTTGAGTTCATAAAGCTCAATCTCTCGAAATATAAAGTAGATTAAGACCTGCACACAACAGTTAACAGGGATTTGCAACTTGTTCCCCAAACCATTCAACACTGGAATCATTATTAAAACACATAAACATATTTAATATAGCAGAAAGAAGAAACAGTACATAGAAAAGAACAAACTCTACTTTTCAACTTCTATTTGTGCTTTTTCGGCTTGGCTTCTCAAATGTCGGCACTCATGTTTTAATCTCTCCACCGTTTCCTTCAGAAGTTGGTTTGAATTCAATAACTCATTCTCTGACTGTGTAAGTGATGTCACTTGCATCTGCAAATTACTGATTTGCTTAAAAAGAAAAGAAAAAAATAATTCAGAAGGCCACTAAACAAAAGTAGTCTTAAGAGTGTGTGAGAATAAGTATCTCCCCTTACAACAGCAACAACAAACTGATGGGCCACTGAGAATAACTTAAGTGAAAAAATAAACCGCAGCATATCAGATCATTTCTTAATATGGCTGGAAGTTATCAAGACCCACATTTTTTAGTCTACCACTGAGTCCTTCTTGTTTTCTCCAAATAAGCAAGACAGAATAGGTATTAGGAGTGGGGAAAAGAATAATTAAGAAGTGAGCAGAGAGGCAGGAAAGGAGACTCCTGCTGCCTCCTAGAAATGAACCAATTTTAAAAGCAGGTCAGCCGGGCAAGTTGCTAAGAAAATACATTCTCCCGTTCCTAAGTATTCTGTCATGAATTACTCTACTGGGAGTTCCACTCTTTGAACAGTCAGGAATCAAAAACACAGGAAAGATCATTCTTAAATTGTCCTGAGACTCTTCTGCGCATTCTATACATACAGTGCTGGGCAGAAGAAAGACTCTCTGAGAAACCTAATGAGTAGCAAGGATTTCTTGATCTCTAGAGTCATTTATCAAAACTACAAAAACTCACCCAGGCTTAGTCTTCATCCCAATTCATTTTTGTCTGAGAGAACTTTTTCTGATTAAAAAAAATACTAGCTAATTATTCAACTACAGATTAACAGGCTTAGGAAGGTTCATGATGTTTTTTAACTTCCATTCAGATAATCTTCACTTGGGACAGTTTTACCTACTTCCTCCTTAAGGAATTTCACCAATAAGCAAGTCCTTATTTTTCTTGAACGGTTTTTAAACCTCTCTTAGTCATTCTCTGAGAGAAGAGAAATCTCACAGCAAAGACAGATAGGAGACTCAGGGATCAGAAAAACAATTATGAGACTCAAGACTCAAAAGTAACATCTTTATACAACAGATTAAATAAACATGAGTTAGTTCTGTTACTTCCTGATAGTAGCAAAATAAACCAAGACACTCTACAAAGTAGCTATCAAGTAAAATAGTAGAATCAAAGAAAATATTATTCTCTTTTAGGACGAATTTCACCATGAAGAATTATTAACTTTTTATTTCCTAACTGGAGTTGTAAATATTAAATCTGTACTACAGCTGAGTAAGCAACTTTCAGGAAGCTTCATACTTCTTCCAGCTAAATGATGGCTGAAAGCCCAAGGACAATGATCATAGAGAGCTTATTCCAGAGAATCAAACATTATTTTCTCCTAGTTGAGACACAAAGGAGCGATAGCACAGCGGTAGGGCATTTGCCTTGCATGCAGCCAACATGGCTGACCTGAGTTCGAGTCCTCCACCCCTCTCGGAGAGCCCGGCAAGCTACCGAGAGTATCTCGCCCACACGGCAGAGCCTGGCAAGCTCCCCGTGACATATTCGATATGCCAGACACAGTAACAACAAAGTCTCCAATGGAGACGTTACTGGGCCCGCTCGAGCAAATCGACGAACAACGGGAAGGCCTTTACCTTTACCTTTAGTTGAGACACAGAAGCCATACTATATATGCAAAGCAATTTCAGCTGCATGCAAGCATAAATCCTAAAAATAGAATGTTCACTAATTTATAATTTAAAAGGGTAAAAAAAGAAAAAAGAATTCAGGAAAGCATGCTTTTTTGTGCATTTATATTATTCCAAAACCGAGATAATTAAAATATATTTTTTTCTACAACATAACTCTTAGATTTCATAAGAATATAATAAATATCACATGGGGTAAGGACATAAGTCAGGGGCTGGAGAAAATTGTACATGGATTAAGGCACATGCCTTGCATGCACCTGACCCTAGTTTGATGCCTGGTACATGCGACATGGTCCCCAAACATCACTGATACAGCCCTGGAGGTCCCCTAGCTAGGCTGGTTGTGGCCCTGGAGGTCCCTAAGCACCACAGGGTAGCATTACAGGAGCCTGGATCCCAGCACTCAACCTTCCAGCCTAGTTGGTTGAGAATCAAGAGGAATCCAATAATTATAAAATGTAAGTCAATCACAGGAATGATTGAACCTGGATGATCATTCTATTCCATTTCATAAATTACAATATGAAAATACAGTCCTTCACAATTTTTGAAATAGTAATCACAGGCTATAGCATATACATATCTTAAGAAAATTGGCGAGTAGGAAGGAAGTTTTCTCACTACAGCGTCAAGAAGTTTAAACCTTTAACTTTTTCTTTATAATCTTATCTAACTGGACATTATATTTTCAGAAAGCTGATATGTAAAATTTCAATAACAACTCAAAACAGAGATTTAGAACAAAAAGCATTAAAAAAAACTTTAAAAAAAAAAGGCAGAGCTGAAGCCATACTCAGCATGCACAAAATTCCAAGTCTGATTCCTGACAATCCTTGCCACCTCTCCCCCCATCCCATCCCGCCAACTCAGTTGGGGTGGTTATGGTGGCCCTCAGAGAACTGCCTTCAAAGTTCCCCTGAAAAAAAAAAAACAAAAAACCCTAATAACAGGGCCAGGGATGTGGCTCCACGACAGACTCCATGCTGCACTATGTGAAACTCTGGGTTCAATTCCCAACACTATAAAACACACCAGAAAACTGAAGCAGAATGGGTCAGCAATCATACCTCTTTTAGGTCCAAATTTTCACTTTTTTCTTTCTCAGCATTTTCTATATCCAGAGCTTGCTGTTGAAGTTTTAACCTAAAAAATCACAGCCCAACAAACATTATTAAAAATCCACAGGTTATATATTTCACTGAATTAGACAATCATTTTACTGAATGCTCTGACTCCAGACATCTGTATCCATATATAAGTAAAATGTAAATATATGATTTTGCCATGAAAATGGAATGAAGAATATGAGAAATTAAGTCCATCTAGGGAGATAAGAGAATACTACATGGAGATAAAAATCCAAGGGTTGGATTCTGATAAATGTAGGATGATCTGAAGAAATAGTTTTAATAGAAGACTGTATGTCACTAAGGCATCAGAAAGCAGTCCAGTTGGTTTTTTTTTTTTAAAACACCACTTTACAGCCATATGATACCTTAAAATTTACAATATGGGTGCCGGTCTTCTTCCCCTCCCACATCAGTCAATCCGCCAGTATTCGAATATGAGACTTGGCTTTCTCCACGCAAGCGCCCAGGCGTCCTCTAGGAACCTGGGATGACGGCATCCCTGAGCCTCTTCCTGTTCGTCCGCAACACAGTGCCAGTCTTCTTCCCGTCCCAACTAGTACCCCCACATACACCAGGTACCCGTGGGGGCGTACTTTAGTCATAGCAAGAAACCTAGTGTAACATCTCAGTCCCCATACCTCCACACCAACTTAAGAAACAACACAAATCCCCACCACGTGGGGAGGACAATGAAAAGAGTCCAGAAGCCTCACTAGGTGCTACTCACTTACAGGACCTCTCTGAGAAAGAATTCAGATATGAATAATCAAGATGTTAATGAACTCAATGAAACTGTCAGACAGATATCCAGTAATATGACAGAAACAATTGAGAAATTACGAGAAGAAATGAGAGCAGAAATTGGAAAACTACGCATAGAAATGTCAAGAATAAAAGATGCCATAGATGAAATAAAAAACTCAGTGTATGCCCTCAACAGTAGAATAACCACAGCGGAAGACAGAATCAGTGAGCTAGAAGATCAGCTGCACCAAGCCAACAGGCAAGAACAAACAATGGCAAGAGACTTCAAAATAGCTCTAGAGTGAATCAGAGTCCTAGAAGATGATTCTAAGAGGAAGAACATTAGAATCATCGGAGTACCAAAAGCTCAAGGAAACAATCCCAATGAAAAAGCCATGGTCAAACAAAACATTGCTGAAAAATTCCCAGAGCTGGACAATGCATCCATTCAGATTCAAGGAGCCTGAAGGGTGCCAGGTGAAAGAGACCCTAACAAAAACACTCCAAGACATATCATAGTTAGAAACATGGATGCCGGTGATAGAGACGCAATACTAAAAGCAGCAAGGTCAAAGAAGGAAATCACATACAAAGGAGCAACCCTTAGATTCACAGCAGACCTATCAGAGGAACCCCTCCAAGCCCAAAGGCAATGGTGGGATACAGTGAAAAAAACTCAGTGAAATAAACGCTTCACCAAGAATACTCTTTCCGGCTAAACTCTCACTCAAACTCGAAGGAACAGTACACTATTTTTTGGATAAACAGCAGCTTAGGAACTTAATAGACTCAAAAAACAAACCTAAAAGAAGGGCTAAAGGAACTACTATAAGACAAGACAAATCCTAAAAGCACAACAGACCCAAACAGAAAAATGACACAAAACCCCATAACAATAATTTCTCTCAACATCAAGGGTCTAAATTCACCAATTAAGAGACACAGAGTGGCAAAATGGATTCAAAGACAGAACCCAACATTCTGCTTCCTACAAGAAACTCATCTGAACAGTCAGGGCAAACACAGACTCAAAGTTAAAGGGTGGAAAACAATCCTGCAAGTAAACAGCTCCCTCAAAAAAGCTGGGGTGGCCATACTAGTATCCGACGACATAAATATCAGGTTGAAAAAGATTAGAAGGGACAGCGAAGGCTATTTTCTATTGATCAAGAGATACGTACAAAGGAAGAAATTACACTCTTAAATGTATACACACCTAATGAGGGAACAGCTAAATATTTAAAACAACTGCTAACAGATATTAAGGAGGACATTGCTAGCAACACAATAGTAGCTGGAGACTTCAATATCGCCTTATCACCTCTGTATAGATCAACAAGAACAAAACTGAGCAAGGAAAGTTTGAAAGAATAGAAGAGAGGGCTTATAGACCTATACAGGACTTCACACCCCAAAAAGAAAGAATACACATTCTTCTCCAGTGCACACGAAACATTTTCAAAAATAGACCATGTGCTAGGACACAAAACGTACCTCAAGATAATCAGGAATACAATCTTTTCAGACCACGATGCACTGAGAATAAAGGTGAATCACACACAGACATGGAGAACCAAATAGAACACCTGGAAATTCAACAACTCAATGTTGAAAAACAATGAGACAGGAAGGAAGTCAAGGACAAAATCAAAAAGATACCTGGAAGCAAACGAGAATGAAGACACGAACAACCAGAACCTATGGGCTGCAGCGAAAGCCGTGTTAAGGGGAAAGTTTATAGCTCTGCAAGCATTTCTCAGGAAGGAAGAAAGGGCCCGCATAAACAACTTGACTTCACAACTCAAAATTTTAGAAAAGGATCAACAGAAGTAGCCCAAATCAGGCAGAAGGAAAGAGATCATAAAACTTACAGCAGAAATCAATGACATAGAAACAAACAAACAAACAAACAAACAAAACAATCCGAAAGATCAATGAAACCAAGAGCTGGCTCTTCGAGAAAATAAACAAGATAAACCACTAGCAAGACTCACAAAGAGAGAGAGAGAACCCTAATAAACCGAATCAGAAATGAGAAGGGGTATATCACACAGAAACCAAAGAAACTTAAAAGATCATCAGAGACTACTTTGAAAGTCTGGATGCCACAAAACAAGAGAAACTAGAAGAAATGAATAAATTCCTGGATTCCTATATTCTCCCAAGGCTGAATCAAGAAGATCTAGAGTACCTGAATAGACCTATTAACATTAAGAAAATTGAAACTGTAATCAAAAGTCTTCCCAAAAACAAAAGCCCAGGTCCAGATGGATTCACTAGCGAATTTTTCCAAACATTTAAAGAGGACCTATTGCCAGTTCTTCTCAAGCTTTTTCAGGAAATTGAAGAAACAGAAAATCTCCCAAAGAGTTCTATGAAGCCCATATCTCTCTAATACCAAAAGGAAACAAAGACATCACAAGAAAAGAAAACTACAGGCGATATCACTGCTGAACACGGATGCAAAGATTCTCAACAAAATACTAGCAAATAGAATTCAAAAACTCATCAAAAAGATGATACATCATGACCAAGTGGGATTCATTCTGGGGATGCAAGGATGGTTTAACATTCGGAAATCAATCAACATAATCCATCGTATCAAAAAAAGAAAAGATAAAAACCATATGATCATATCAATAGATGCAGAGAAAGCATTTGACAAGATCCAGCACCCGCTTATGATGAAAACCCTCTCCAAAATGAGTATAGAGGGGACTTTCCTCAATATAGTTAAAGCCATCTACCACAAGCCCTAAAGCAAACATCATCCTCAATGGGGAAAAACTCAGAGCCTTCCCTCTAAGATCAGGGACGAGACAAGGATGCCCACTCTCTCCACTGCTGTTCAATATAGTACTGGAAGTACTTACAATAGCAATTAGGCAAGAAAAAGATATTAAGGGCATTCAGGTAGGAAATAAAGAAATCAAGCACTCACTAGCTGCAGATGATATGATATTATACTTAGAGAACCCTAAAACCTCTACCAAAAAACTTCTAGAAACAATAGATTGTATAGTAAAGTTGCAGGCTATAAAATCAATATCCAAAAGTCCATGGCTTTCCTATATGCAAATAGTGAGAGAGAAGAAAGTGACATGAAAAAAACAATCCCATTCACAATTGGTCCCCCAGAAAATCAAGAACCTATGAATCAGTTTAACTAAGAAATTAAAGGACCTGTACAAAGAAAACTACAAAACGCTACTTCAGGAAATAAAAGAGGACATGAGGAAAGAGAAAGAAATCCCCTGCTCATGGATCGGGAGAATTAACATTGTCCAAATGATAATACTTCCCAAAGCATTGTACAAATTCAGTGCGATCCCTATAAGGATACCCGTAACATTCTTCTAAGAAATGGAGCAAACACTCCTGAAATTCATATGGAACAATAAGCCCCCACGAATAGCTAAAGCAATTCTTAAGAAAAAGAAAATAAGAAGAATCAAACTCCCTAACTTCAAACTCTACTACAAAGCAGTAATAATTAAAACGGCATGTTATTGGAAAAAAGGCAGAGCCCCACACCAATGGAACAGGGTTGAATACACTGACATCTCCCCCCAAACATATGATCATCTAATCTTTGATAAGGGAGCAAGAAATGTGAAATGGAGCAAGGAAAGCCTCTTTAACAAACTGTGCTGGAAAAACTGGACAGCTACATGTAAAAAAATGGGCTCAGATCTCTGCCTAACACCATGTACAAAAGTAAGATCAAAAACGATTAAAGACCTCAACATCAGACCGGAATCCATAAGGTACATTGAAGACAAAGTTAGCAAAATCCTTCATGACATTGAAGCTAACAGTATCTTCAAAGATATCATGCCACTGGCCAAGCAAGTGAAAACAGAGATAGACAAATGGGACTGTCTTAAATTAAGCTTCTGCACCTCAAAAGAAACAGTGACCAAAATACAAAGACAGTCTACAGAAAGGGAAAGGATATTCGCTCAATACACATCCAAGAAGGGGTTGATATCAAGGATATACAAAGTACTGGTTGAACTCCACAAGAAGAAAACATCCAACCCCATCAAAAAATAGTGCAACAAAATGAACAGAAACTTTCTTAAGGAAGAAATACGAATGGCTAAAAGGCAAAGAAATCCGAATGATGTAGAGAAAATGCTCTACATCATTAATCATCAGGGAGAGGCAGATCAAAACAACAATGATATATCATCTCACACCACAAGAGACTGGCCCACATCCAAAAGAATAAGAGCAACCGATGTTGGCATGGATGTGGTGAGAAAG